ATGTACAACGTTCAAACTAGGCTGCTTATGTTGAAGTGTTTGGGATGTAACTTTTAATGATGAGACCTTTTTTGTAATCAGGCTCTCAAAAAGTATATAACAATTTGGATATAGATTTATCGGCCAACATATCGGTTATCGGCTTTCAAAAATAAAGAATAATCGGTTATCGTATCGGCCAAAATTTTCATATCGGTGCATCCCTAGTTGTGTCTCAAGTTGTCTTTAGTTGTGTCTCAACTAAAGACAGTAGTGTTGTTATTCACCTCATTGTTGATTCAATTCAGTTCAATAGCAGTGTCGATGTTGCTTCTGAAAGCATTTTTATATATTTAACATCAGTAACACTGTATCAATAATATTTCTAAAGCTGTGACCTGGAAATCTTTCAGATAACTTCACACAGCATTCTAGAATCTCACCAAACATTCCCACAGTACAGATTAAATACAGTCAGGAGAGTTTCGAAATAAGCAATACCATATTTTATGACTTCAACTATGGCTTTGCATCACTGTATAAATCATTATGAAGTTTCCTTTGGTCTCTTCTGATCTTATCAACTCACAGACAAAAGGAACGAACCGCATACATGTCGTCTTACATTGCATGTCAAATAACCTAGTAGGTTTAGCTGTTTTGGCCTCCCACGACTCCCACACTTTCCTCCTGCACTTAATTTGGTGGGGGCGATAAAATCTTTGATGTCTCTGCTAAACATGGGGTCTGAATCACATACTGTTTTAAAAACCAGTCATACTGTGACAACAGGTAGAAGTTCCGGTTTGTACAGTAATCAGCTTTTCTGGTCTAATCTTTTAAGACAAATTTACAAGAAACTGTTTACACCTGACCTGGACGATTTTTAATATTTAAAGTGTTTGTTTGAGTTCATTTAATGCTTTTGAAACAGAAATGCTAAGACAGACCAATCATTTGATCTAAAATGCAGTAAACCAGTATTTTGAAATATCATATTACTATTACAATTTAAAATAACTTTTCTATTTGAATATTTTCAGATGTAATGTATTCCTGTGATGGCAATGCATGCTGAATTGTCAGCAGACATTACTTCTGAATATCTGAATATATGTGAATGTAATTCATATTATTAAAGAGTTTAAAATATTTCAGTTAAAAAAAGACACAAATTATTAAATATTGAGATGTTTAGCCAATCAAGTCAAGTCACCTTTATTTGTATAACACTTTATACAATACTGGTTGTGTCAAAGCAGCTTTACAGTGTCAAACAGGAAAATAGTTTGTCAATAATGCAAGAAGACAACAATCTAAAGTCCAGCTAAAGTCAGTTCATTAATGATTCAGTGATGTCATCATCCAGTTCAGCGCTCTTCCAATAGTGTCTGTGCAATCAGCCAAGCATCCCCAACTAAGCAAGCAAAAGGCGACTGTGGCAAGGAACCAAAACTCCATTAATGGCAGAAATGGAAGAAAAAACCATTGGATAAACCAGGCTCAGTCGGGGGGCCAGTTCTCCTCTGGCCAGACAAAACCAGCATGGCATGGTTTAATTCCAGCCTGCAACACAGGTCAAATTGTGCAGAGGACTTTTCTGGTTCCTGTGGTCTTGTGCGATGGTCGTGGAGGTGACGAGGTCTTCGCAGTGGATCTGTCTCTGGGGCGCATCTAGTTGACATGGTCTCCGCTGACATTCAGGGCTGTAGAGGTCTTCTCTAAGTGCTGATCTAGGTGCTCATCTGATCTGGATATGGACTGGATCTAGGTGGCTACGGAGACCATCTGATCTGGGTACAGACTGGTGACCTCGGAATAAGAATGAAAGAGACTAATATTAGCATAGATACCATTCTTCTTACGATGTAACGAGTACATCGGGTGTTATGGGAAGTGTTCCCGGTTCCGGGTTGACCTAATTAATGCAGCCTAACAATCCTTTAATGGATTTGAATTATAGAAATGTGATAGTGTATTATGTGTATGCCAAGTTAAAGAGATGGGTCTTTAATCTAGATTTAAACTGACAGAGTGTGTCTGCCTCCCGAACAATGCTAGGAGAGTTTGGGCGCTAAATAGGAAAAGGATCTGCCGCCCGCAGTTGATTTTGATATTTTAGGTATTATCAAATAGCCAGAGTTTTGAGATCACAGCGGACGTGAAGGTATTTTCAGCGATATGAGCTCGCTCAAGTATTAAGGAGCTGCTAAATAGGAAAAGGATCTGCCGCCCGCAGTTGATTTCGATATTTTAGGTATTATCAAATAGCCAGAGTTTTGAGATCACAGCGGACGTGAAGGTATTTTCGCTCAAGTATTTTCAAGTGAAGTGACATGTGGCCAAGTATGGTGACACATACTTGGAATTTGTGCTCTGCATTTAACCCATCCAAGTGCACACACAGTAGTGAACACACACACTGGGCAGTCATATTGCTGCCATCAGCCATCAAGTGCTTTGTTTAAGGGTCTCACCTCAGAAGAGAGCACTGTACATTCACTCCCCCCACCGACAATTCCTGCCAGACCTGAGACTCAAACCCACAACCTTCAGGTTACAAGTCTGACTCTCTAACCATTAGGCCATGACTGCCCGAAGTGAGAATCATACCCCTAGACCAACGTGTTGTGTTGTTTGTCTCAATAACCAGTCTGTATCGTCGTTATCTCAACTTTATTAACGCACTCTCGCGATCCTCTCTCATTCCCACCCCTTTATTCTCGCGATATCACTACACTACATCCCTCCCTTTGTTAGTATTAGAAACTTTTGTTTCAACCACTTTGTTACTATTACTCTGAACACAATATACTACTATATTGTTTCAATCCAAACTGACTAAAATGTCAACAAACATACTCAAACATTTACATAATCATGTTCTTGAAACGAGCAGGTTTCTTAATCACTCTACCACTACAGGTTGTCAAAGGCTTGCTGGTGTCTGGTACTGTAACAGAAGAACTCTGTGGCTCTTTTGAGGAATCTGACTTGACACCTGTCTCTTGAGTTGCTTGATCACTTTGTATTTCTGCAGGTTCTGGTATGTTAATCTCCAGCTGAACAGGAACATGCCGAATGTGCTTCACATTTCTCACAATCCTAGCGCCATCCTCTACATTGACCATTTTAAAGGAATTGTCTGATGTGTGCCTCAGCAGTACATAGCGAGTATCTCTATACTTCGAGTCCAGCTTACCATCTTCCATACTCGCAACATATACAATGTCTCCTAACTTAAAGTTGTGTTCTTTGGCTCGTCTTGTCATGTCTGCGTACTGTTTCATTTTCTCATTGTAACTTTTATGATGACTTTTAATGTCTTTTGTTTCTCTTTTGTCTGTTATGAGACTAGGCAAGTTCGTACGCACATCTCATCCAAACATCAGATAAGCTGGTGTCTCACCCGATGCTCTATGTGGTGTGGATCGATGGGCAAGAAGAATCTTTGAGAGATCTTCTCTCCAGTTCCTTCCCTCACTTTTATCTTTCTATTTTACCGTTACTTTTGGGGTAGTAAGGTGAGGCCTTAATGTGCTTAACTCCACTAGTTCTCAGAAATGCTTCGAAGACTTTACCGACAAACTGCTTCCCGTTGTCAGTGACTACTTCCAAGGGATACCCAAATCGGGCAAATATTCTCATAATTTCCTTGGTAACGGTCTCAGAATTAATGTCGGAAATGACTACTGCTTCAGGATATGATGTGTAGTAGTCTATAACAGTGAGTATACAGACATTCTGAATAGGACCCACCAAATCAACACCTATCTTGGTCCACGGTCTGGGTGGTAGTTCTAATGGATGCAGTGGTTGATCTTCATTCAAGGGTTGATTCAGAACACACGCATTACAGTTTTTGACCAGTCAAACATCCAGTTTTTGACCAGTTCAACATCCATGTCCATATTAGGCCAATAGAATTTGCTTCTCAAAAATTGCTTTGTGCGAATTACACCTGTATTTCGTGTGCAATTTTCAAAGCTTGCTAAACCAGCGTGGAAGGAAGAAAAATCCTGTGTCCCCGCAGCAAAAGACCATCATGGGTTGACAACTCATCTTTCAAGCAGCGTTTGTATGGATGTAGGCTTTCAGGAATTGTAGCAGGCCACTGTCCTCTCTCCACTATGGAAATCAGCTGCGTCAAGGTAGTATCTTCTATTGTAGCTCAATACCAAGTATTGAGGCAGATTTACTTTTCAAATGGATCATCAAAAATCCACAAGTGCCTAAGAATGAACGTAACTGTGCAACATTTTCGGGTCTGGGAGCGTTACAAACTGCTTCTATCTTTCGTGGATCTGGTTTTATTCCATCTGCTGTGACAACATGACCCAAAATCTCAATCTGCTTAAGTCCAAAGAAAATTTTTCTTTATTCAAGGTCAGTCCTTTTTCTTGGAATCTTTGAAAAACATTTCTCAGTCTTTGCTCCAGCTCATTTTCAGCAAACACGACCACATCATCCATGTAGCACACCACACCTGGCATCCCACATAACATGGAGTCCATGGCTTTCTGGTATGCTTCAGGAGCACTGGACAATCCGAATGGAACCTTCCTAAAACAGTAGCATCCCCGGTGCATAATGAATGTGGTCATTTGTCTGGATTCAGGTGCCAGATCAACTTGCCAGAAACCCTTACGGGCATCCAGTTTTGCAAACACCTTTGCTCCCTGCATTGCTTGCAGTATACTGTCTATTGTTGGCACTGGGTGTCTTTCTCTTACCACCGCTTTATTCACTTCTCTCAGATCTGCATAAAGTCTTACTTCTTTAGTGTCTTTTTTTTTGGAATGAGAAGAATGTTTGACACCCATTCAGAGCCTTCGTGCACTTCCTCTATGATGCCATCTTCCAGCATTTTGTCCAGCTCTTGATTCACAGCCTCTACCATCAGGTAGGGTACTCTCCTTAAAGCTTGAGCTACAGGTGTGACTTTTTCATTCACTGATATTTTATGGCTGTAACCTTTGATTTGTCCCAGTCCTTTAAACAAGGAGTGATATTCAGCCTCAAGTTTCAAAAATCTTTCTGGCGAATTTTCAATTGCAGCGACCTGGTCTGTGGTATTCAGAATCTTTAAGTCAAAGCATGACCGTCTTCCTAACAGTGGCTCAACACTTCCTTTGATTACAAAAATATCTTTCGTGACATTATCCTTCCATTGGAAATGTGCTTTAAAAAATCCCACGCAGTTGAGAGTGTGCATAGTCTGCTTTGTGCATAGGCGAATAATTTTCTCTTTGTTTGTTTGAGTTCAAATTTTTGTGCAAACAATCTATGATACAGTTCTTCTCCAATGAAATTTCTTCCACTTCCTGTATCTATAACCATCTTCAGCCTCTGTCCATTAACTCTTATGGTCCCTTTTCCTTCTGGATCAATTGAATACACAAATTCATCAGAATCAGAATGGTCATGTACAGCTCTCACTGGTTTGTCTTTGTGGTCTGACTTGTCTTTGACCTTGTATTTTTCATTTTTATACTCCTGTGAGTTGTTTTTCTTTTTGCAAACACGCGCATGATGACTGGCTTTTCTGCAGTACAGGCAAGTTGCTGATTTTGCCCCACAGTCATCTGCTTTGTGTCGCTGTTGTTCTTTTCAAATCACCCTATGCTGGCATTTTGCTGTTTCACTTTTGCATTGGGAGCTCTTGTACCCTTCGTGAAATTAACGTGATTGTCTTTTTCTTTTATATTGTTTTCTGAAAGCACTTTAGACTCTGCTTGGGCTGATTCAAAAATTCTAGCAACAGTTAATGCTCTTAACAACGTAAGCCCTTCTTCCTGCAAGAGTTTCTCTTAATTGTCTATGTGCACATTTCTCTACAAGTTGATCTCGTATCATATTGTAACAGTTCTATATTGAATTACTGTTACTGTAGTTTGAATCTTGGGACCCGGGAGATTCACGAAAATCCTCTGCACTGGAGCACCAATACAATGCAAAAAAGTAGCGCGTCTTACCGCATCGGCAGCATTGATAGTTCCACTGGCCAACTCAAAGAAATTGTAAGAGACTTTCCATGTTTTGTATTCTGCATACAAATCCGAAACTCCGAGGTTCAATGGAATAGGTGGTGATAACTGAGCCTGTACGACATTTATCGGCGGTGCTCGTGCAACGGCCTCTTCGCCCTCCATGCCACCCCCCCCCAATTAAAAAGACTCTCGCGATCCTCTCTCGTTCCCACCCCTTTATTCTCGCGATATCACTACACTACACAACGAGCCAAGTATTGAGGAGCTAAACCATTCAGGGCTTTATAAGTAATTAGCAAGATTTTTAAAATGTATTCGTTGTTCAATAGGGAGCCAGTGCAGAGTTGACAGACCCGGGCTAATGTGGTTGTACTTCCTGGTTCTAGTAAGAACTCTAGCTGCTGCATTTTGGACCAGCTGGAGTTTGTTTATTAAGCGCGCAGAGCAACCACCCAATAAAGCATTACAATAATCTAACCTTGAGGTCATGAACGCATGAATTCATGTTTCTGCATTTGACATTGAGAGCATAGGTTATAATTTAGATATATTTTTAAGATGGAAAAATGAAGTTTTACAAATGCTAGAAAGGAAAGATTGCTATCAAATAGCACACCCAAGTTCCTAACTGATGACGAGGAATTAACAGAGAGCCATCAAGTGTTAGACAGTGTTTTAGGTTATTAAATGCGGAGGTTTTTGGTCCAATAATTAAAACCTTTGTTTTTTCAGAATTTATCTGTAGGAAATTACTAGTCAACCATCCAATCACTGATTAATAATTTTCCTTTTTTTTTCCCCTCAGTTGGAAATTACCCAGACATGGACAGCAGCATACAGTGTGATGGATTTATGCCAACGATGACAATGTCAGAGAAATACGGCCCCTCAGCTGCCTCAAATGGATATACAGACAGCATCACGTGCCACTTGAACTATCAGTCGGAGCCACAGGAGTCTGAATGGAATGATTAACTTTGGCACATGAACTTCCTATTAACCTGACAATTATCTATATAGTGTTTTTTTTTCTACCAGTGAAGAAGCTTTACTTCTTTTCTGGTAGAATGTGTAAATAACTTATTTTTTATGGGAAAATATTTAATTGAATACACTTCACAAAACAATTCGCAATTGACACCGTAGACTTGGTAACTTTTCTTTACAGACTTGTAGTCCGAATTATTTTCCACCATTCTGTTTCACTAGCGAAGCCCACAATCACTCAGAAGTACGTACTTGACCACAAAGCAAAACATGTGCCGTTTCTCAATATGCGTTCTAGTCTGTTCTTGTGGACTTGTGAAACATCAGTCGTTGCCCAAGTACTGTTCCAATTCAAAAGTCTTGTCCAAATACCCACACTTGCGGGCTTTACTTGACTACTTCTATGACGTATTTCCTGTATTTGGCCCAAGTGTTCAAGTGAGCATGAAGACCACAAGTGTGTGTCGAACTTTTCATTACCTGATGGGACACACTTGTAGTGTTGTAAAAATGCAAGTGTTTACAGAGCTTTATTTTAATTTAAAATCAACTTCTAAATGTCTGTTCAGTAGTCCCTATAACATGACCATTTTAATGTGTGGTGCTTCTAATTAAGTGATAAAAAGCTGTTGCAAATGTTGTACAAAATAAATATCACCACTACTCGCCTTTGCACCAATAAAACGTAAAAACACTGTTTTCTACCAAATTATGTGTAATATCTAATTATTATATGAATATTTCACTTGCATTGGAAAGGTTTCCGTGACCTCTCGCGAGATCTCGGCAAAAGCCACTAAGCCTCGAATAGTGCTCCGGAGCGGTATTCGAGAGAGTGTGCTTGTTTTCACGACCTGGGACAGTCTTGCGCACTTACTTCCTGTCGCGCGCACGCGCTCACAATGTGGCCAAGACCGCAAGTGTGGGTATTTGGACCATAGACATGTCTATGATTTGGACAAGGGGAAAGTTCACATCTAGTTCAATATCCCAAGGATATACAGTTCAAATCCCCGGATGTCAGTTCAAATCCCCGGATGTCTTCTTGCTCCGCCCGTTTTATCAAGGATGCGTCCAGAGGTGAAAGTACACTGCTGTTCCATTTGCAGAATTACCGGACTTGTGTCCTCCCATCGCCAGGAGTTCGCTACTCCCGAGTCGAACTTACGAAGTCCAAAATACCGAGGACGCAACTCCGAACTTTGCCTACTTGGTATTGAGAAACGGGTGTTTCTCAGCTTGTTCTGTTCTCTACTGCTGAAACAGCTGAATATTACGTTACCAAGTCTATTATCGCCCCTTAGTGGTAAAATGAAGGAATTGCAAGGAGGAGGGCGTTTCATTTTTCACTGTCTTGTTGAAATGGACCATGGTTTCATATAATACCGTTAAAAAAAAAAACTTACCTAGGCTGCATTTATTTGTTTTATTAAAATATTATTCTAATTTAAAGTAACTTGAGCAACTTTGAATACATTTTTAATTGTATACAAAAGCTGAATTTTCAGCCGCCATTAGTCCAGCCTTCAGTGTCACATGATCCATCAAAAATTATTTTGTTGATTTGGTGCTCAAGAAACATTTTTTATTATCATCAATGTTAAAAAGAGTTGTGATGCTTATATTTTTTTATTATGTATTATGATGAGGATTTTTTTGATAAATAGAAAGTTTAAAAAAAATCTAAAATTATATCTTTACTGTCACTTTTGTTCAATTTAATGCAAACTTGCTAAATAAAAGTATTGATTTTTTTTTTAAATAAATCTTACTGTGCCCACACTTTTGAACGGGTGTGTTATAATGAAAAACAAAATATCTCGATATTTTCTGGAATTTTGTCAATAACGATTAGACATTATTTTGCGTCATTGTGCTGGTACTTTGGCAGGTTTAGGACTGCCGTGGACAGCTGACTGCCAAAGCTTTTGATGTACTTCATATTCTGTGCAGAGGTTATTAGCAGGAGTAAAATAAATTAAATTTTCCAATAAGTTTAAATTGATTTGACCTTTTATGGGCATTTTACCTTTATAATGCAATTTTCTAACCTAATTAAATGTATACATCATCTTCTGTGTGAAATTCCTAAATTTAATCAATAAATTAAAACCGTAAGACACTATAGCGCTGTGACCAATCAAACTAAATCAGTATCAACAAATTGAAACATTTGTGTTTGCAATGCAAAGATGGCACAGAATCTGCATCTGAAGTGGCATTTGGATGCATTAAAACGGACTGTTTAAGACATGAATGCATTTAACCTGCAGTTACAAATGCACAATTAATGTTTTGATGTTTTAAAAAAACGATGCATAGGCCTAATGATATTTAAAATGATTTGGGCTAGGGCTTTGTTTGAAACTATTTTCATTGTCAAAATACAGCAAAAACAAGAACTGTGTTCTAAACTGTAAGCCACTTAATTCTTGTTTATTGAACTGTTCATCAAATCAGTTTGCAATCGTGCTGATATTTGGAGAAAAACGTCACTCTTCGTGTGATATATCAAATGATATAAATATAAAAAAACAAAAAGTCAATATTGGGGGAATTTTTGCCCCCTTAATCTTGCATTTTGGGGGAAGTCTAAAAGTATTTTAATAGATTACATCACGCAGTGAAATCGAGAACTCTAAAAAATGTGCTCACACAGTAGTCTAACCTACATCATGTAGTGTATGCAGGTGCACTCTCTGGGTGTATTTTTGTTTGGTTTTTGTTATATACTCAACAATTACGATATTATTGTATTTAAGGGGGTCTGAATACTTTCCGTACCCACTGTATATCACACACCCGTAGATAGATAGATAGATAGATAGATACTATTGTGTGTACTATTATTAGTATTGCAATTCGCATTGGCATCAGTAGCTATAGTATTCTTATAGAAATAAATTCATTCAAACAGGATTTTATGGTAATATAAATGGTTATATTTTAGAGTGGACAAATCTACATATTTCAGACCACAGGTATTTCAAAACTTTTAGACAATGTTTGACTACTGCATTTAATTAAAATGCTATCACACAGATTTATCAAATCCATTATTTACCAATCCAATAGCAGGACACTAGACATTAAATAGAATTTAGGAATCAAGCATTCAAGTTGCACTTGACTAGCTAAACCACTGACTGATTTAATCATTACTTCTGCTTACTGTAAACATATCTGCATAATACAATATTAGGGTGCCATGAATCTAGCCTGATCCATATTTTACAGTACCATTCATGAATGTTCACAGAGGGCAACAGGGCTCTATTGTCGTGATCTCATTTAACCTTTGCATTTAAACTTTGAACCAATTTCTTCATTTGTAGTCTCCATTTAAACACTATTTGTTGCAGCTCAGGGACAAATCACTGTTGCGATATGGCCTCTTTCTGAACCCTGAGCGCTAAGAACAATCTGAGCTCAAAACCCCCAACAAATGGCCCCTCTATTTCTCTCTCTCTTCTCTCCATCCTCACTCAGCCTTCTTAAAGACTTGCTTGGCAGTGACATCCAAAGTTTACATCTCCTGCAGAGAGAGAGAGAGAGAGAGAGAGACGTGACAGAAGAAAAAAGGATGAAGGACATTGTGAGATGCATAGCCCAGTTGTTAAAGATTCGATTGGGTTTAATCCAAGAACTAGGGATGTTACTCAACTCACGATTTTGATTTCACAATTCGATTTGATTCATGATTTTTTTTTTATAAAATGAGATTTAAGACAAATTATAAATTAAATGTGTCCTTTTATTATTGCTTGGACAAAATACTGTACGTTCCTTTGTGAAATTGAAATATAACACTATAATAATATAGCACTTGTAAATTATTGCTCTTTTGTTGGTTTTGATTGCTTCTATTGTCCTCATTTGTTAGTCGCTTTGGATAAAAGCGTTTGCTAAATAACCAAATTTAAATATAATGCAAATGTAAATAACAAAAATAAATAGAAATTTTCAAACAAGCCCCAAATCAAATAAATAAGTAACACAAATAAAAGAAATCCCTTCATATAAACAAACTAAGGCTTTGTCTGTGATCTTTGCATTTAAAATTAGAACAAATTATAAATAAATGTGTCCTTTTATTATTGCTTGGACAAAATACTGTACATTTCTTTGTGAAATTATAATATAGGCTAACGCTATAATAATATACTAACATAGCACTTGTAAATTATTGATCTTTTGTTGGTTTTGATTGCTTTTATTATCCTCATTTGTTAGTTGCTTTGGATAAAAGCGTTTGCTAAATAACCAAATTTAAATATAATGTAAATGAAATGAAATTTTAAAACAAGCCCCAAATCAAATAAATAAGTAACACAAATAAAAGAAATCCCTTCATATAAACAAACTAAGGCTTTGTCTGTGATCTTTGCATTTAAAATTAGAGGCAATCACTGCATTTTAATCATGATCCAAACAAAGATGCTGCATACATGCAACATGAGCAGTTTTTAATCTAAATTACATTGTACAATTTCGAAATTTGAAGCAAAAACAGAATGGTTTGACTTCAGTTTTGTGAAACTATGCATAAAAAATATCTGCATGAAACAGAAACAGCAGACGAGCTGAATGAGACGCAGATTCACTCTCTGCCAGCAGGTGGCGCTTAATGCATTTCCTTGGTTTCCGCTGTAAACAAAGCAGCGCTGCACTTATGAACTTTAATATGCATTATACAGAGGCAAGAGGAAAAGAAAAAATACCATCTAAACTTTTCTGAAGACCGTAAGTTCCCCTCAGACATGCATTCATATAAACTCCTACCCCTAGTTGAATCGCGATTTGCTTAGAATCTCAACCAATTTGAATTGTCACATATTTAAATCGATTTTCAACCAGCTCGCGGTTAATTGTTACATCCCTACAAAGAACTAAAGACATTCAGAGAAGGTCCCATCACCACCACGCTTCTGAATAAAGCCTTGATTTCCAGGTTGGTTCATTGAAACCATTCCTAAAATGAATGTACTGTTTCTTTAAATGAAAAGAAAAGTTTTTTTTTGATGTAGTTCTTTTTCAAAAAAAAGTCTCACCCTTTCAAAGGCTGCATTTATTTGATAAAAGTAAAATAACAGTAATATTGTAAAATATGATTACAATTTAAAATAACAGTTTTCTATTTTAATAAACTTCATATAGTTTAACAAAAACTTTTAGTCAAGTTTTACATTTAAGTTACTTTATATAATTGTCCTCCACACACAGAATAATACATATACAGTATATAAAGCAGTTTTCCTGGCCCAGGACAAACCCTGTTTGCTTACCAAATGGAGGAGGTTTCCTTCTAGCCAGTGTGTCCAGCCTCTGCCCTCTTTCTCTCCTCGCTGCACGCAGATCAATTTATCACCATCCCAATTCACTGTGGTCTGAAACATATGGAGAACATTATCCATTAGCGCCACACATACCACACTTTCCCACACTCCTTTGTCTGGCTGATGTTACTTTTAAAGGGGCCTGTGTGTTTCTCACAAATACATTACAAATGGGTAAACTAGGAAAAAATATATATATAAAAACACACACACACACCTGGCACTTTCGCCCATCGACTGGTCCCAGGTCCTCAGTGAACTCCTGTCCCAAAGTGAAGTCCATGTCAAAGTTCTTAAAGGTGGTGACTGTCTTAATCTTCATTTTTCCAGTGTTCACATCGTGTTCAATATGTTTGCTGGGTTTCAGAATGCAGACGACTTTCCTTAATGCATAATTAACATCTGATGCGGAGAGAAAGAGAGATTAAACTATTAGCACACTTAAGAAAATTATGTCATTATTTACTTAACCTCATGTTGTTCCAAATGGTATTTTTTTTTCTACAGTGAAGAAATACTTTTCAGTACAATGAAATCAATCTGAATCAGTTGAGCAAGTTCCAGTCTAAAGGATCTGTTCTGAAATAAGAATGATCTGGAGTTCAACTCACTGATTCAATGATCTGGTCACACTCGCAGTGGTAAAAGAAGATTATCAGTGAAAAGCAGCTTGCGTTTCAGTTTGTTCCGTCACTCAGAGCTACTGTATGAATTCAGGAGATTTGGAATATAATGCATGAATTGTGTGAATCGCTTTTATGATACTTTCATGCTGATTTTAAGTTTGAATGCTCCATTATTCCAAATGCATGAAAAAGAGTGACAAACAAGTTACTGAAAATAACTTTTCAATAACTTTTTTCACAAAAGAAAGTCAGTCAAAGGCTACATACAAGTTTGGAACAACATCATTTTTATTTGTCGGTGAACTAACCCTTCAACACCATGTATAACATGATGAGACAAGCATTACAAGGTCTTATCCAATGAATATGGATATGATAAAGGGTTCAGGGACAAATTCAGACATGTCTTCACTTTTCCAATTGTATTCTTCACAAACTAAATTGCTATGATCTCGTTAAGGCTTTCTTCCCCACGGCAAGAAGATGATTGGGCTGTATTTCACTACATTCACCCAGATTAAAAGAGGTATATCATCTTCATGTTCACAGATGTTTGAAGGCAGGTGGAAGAGGAACATCACAGTCAACACAAGCATCAAGTTACAATCAAAGTGAGTCACAGTGGTTCGTACTGAATAGACTCTTTATATACTACAGCAGTTCACTGATTATAAGCTCTTATACTGCTGAACTGAGAAAAAAATAACAACAACATAAAATATATTGTTGCTTACCCAAAGCCGCGAGATATTCTTCAAAATGTTCCTGCGAAACCATGTGAAAATGTATTTTAAAATAAGCTGTACAATCATGAAGCAAAATAACATTTAATCTTCTTTCTTTTTTCTTTTATCATTTCCTGACAGATCCACTCTTCTTATCTTTCTTTCCTTTTGCTCCCAGATTCTCATAAACATCTTCATTTTTTCTGAAAAAAGGGAAAAAGAAAAGAAATCAGTATAACTGATTAGTCACTAACTTACAGTAGTCATCATAACCCATCCCAACTTCTAGAGGAACAAAGGAGTGAATGAGTTTTCAATGTTTCAAAGTTTTAATGTTTTTGTCGGCAGCTTGAGCTATTAACTGACCCAAACCACAAAAACGTGAGAAAGAGGCTTGCCAAACATTGTCCAGTAAGCCAATGATTAGTTCAACTCTGTGATTAGAGCAAGATCAAACTGAAACAATACCAGATCTGAGATATCCAATATGCAACTCAATCCTTCCCTTTCTCTTTCAATGGGATATTGCACAACTAAGGCTTCTAAAAAGCTTGTGTAAGCAGATGGCCGTGTGACTGAGAGATCTTTGAACGGCCTACTTAACAGGTCATCGGTTTGGGAAAGATAAGGGGATATGAGAGGAATGTTTCTGGATGGTTGTGGGCAGGGTGCGAACTACTGGGGAGCTAGGGGGAGCTCGGCTCCCCTTAATAAGTCATAGGCTCCCCTGAAAACGTGATTTGTGAAATTTTGGGGGGTCTCAAAAAATATTGACAATGTGTTATTTTGACATGCAATTTCAGTTTTGTGTAATGTGATCATTGTGGATTATTATGTGTAAAATTGCAAAAAATATCGTTCATTCGTGCATGATAAAGATAACTATACATGCTATTCTTGTCATGAGCATCAAGGTGTGGGGGCGCTGCGGTGCAAATTCCACTCATGTTTAGTACATGTTAACTCAAAGATTCGTAGAAAAAATATAAACGTTGGACTCTGTGGTCGATTCTGTGTTAAGGTAAGGCATGTTATTTGCAATTAAGTGTTGTGGCTGGGTTGTTCTAGGTCTGCGTGACTTTCGATGTCTTAGGCCTTATTATGGTATTCTTCTGTAGCCTGATGACGACTAACTTTACGTTAACCGTTGTTCATGTGAACTCAAAGAAATGTGAACCCCCCCCATAAAAAAAAACAAGAAGGCTCCCCCACTTGCACATGAACCAAACCGTTATTTTTTAAAAATCAAGTGGGCTCCCCCAAAGTCCACGGTATAGTTTGAACACTGGTTGTGGGAGTATTTGAGAATACACTACAAGCAGAAGTCTACTTACTTCGCAGAGGCTTTGCGACTGGCCTTCAGGTGTTTAGGCTGAATTGAGAGGTTTCCATATTCGGTTTCTGTTTCCTGTAACAGAAAGTAAAAAAAAAATCAATAGCAATACTAAGTACAACAGAGGGGAAACACAGGATATCAGTCTTATCTTCCCTTTTTACAGTGTTGACTTTGATAAGATATTGCATGGGAACCGTTCTGAAAGCAAATGGATATACTATCTTTCAATAGTTTGGGGTCATATACTCACCAAGGCTGCATTTATTTGACAAAAAAATACAGTAAAATACAGTAAAAACAGTAATATCATGAAATATTATTACAATTTGTAGTAACTGCAGGCTTCAGTGTCACATTATCCTTCAGAAATCATTCTAAAATGCTGATTTGCTGCTTAAGATACATTTCTTATCAATATTGAAATCAGCTGAGCTGCTTAATATTTTTGTGGAAACTGTGATACACTTTTCTTCCAGGATCCTTTGATTAATAGAAAGTTTAAAAGAACAGCATTTCCTTGAAATAGAAAGCTTTTGTTGTAAATGTATTTACTGTCACTTTTTATTTAATGCTTCTTTGCTGGAAAAAGTATTAATTCCTTTAAAAAAAATCTTACTGACCTCAAAACAAATATTGGCTTAATTTCCATTTATTCATTTTATTGCATTTCAGAAACCTCTCACCACGATCCTCAGCCATTTTCTTACCATGACAGCCCTTCGTGTGAGTTTAGTCGACTCTATATACTGTAGCACAGCCAAGTAGATGAACTTGTACTGTGCTTCGGTTTGCACCATGCCAGACCTCTGTTCTCTAACCATCTGAATACACTTCTGGATGTCGATGTCACTGTCCAGACCTGACAAAAACAACATCTTTAGATTCATTTGCAAAAACTGCTAGCATGTTTGATCCAGGATCTAGGCTGAAGTACCACCCTGAGGTGTTCATGTGAAATGTGGTTGCAACATCTAAGAATAAGCCTATTATAAGATTATAAGACTAACTGTATTGATTTGTGTAAAATATCTGGACTATTTAAAAGGGAAGCATATTAGCTAAACATAATGTAGGTTCCAGAAAGCCTGAGGACATTCGCAGGTTATAATGATTTAATCAATCTGATTGCACTGCATTAACCCTCAGTTGCAATAGTTTTGCCATGGTAACGTTCATTAATGTTTTGATATAAAGATGAATACTGAAACAGTACTGACCTTTCTAGAATGTTTTTAAGTTTAAATAAAATTGTAAACTTCTCATTAAGAGCTGGACTTAATTCAAAACTAGGATTCACAGGATTCCAGAGGTTTGAGTAAAATCAACCTAAATACACTAATTTCTCTACTGAGTTGAGAATTTATATATGTTTACGCATTTAGCAGACACTTTTATTGCATTCAAGGTATTCATTTAATGAGTTCATCAGTTCTCAGGGAATCGAGCCTATGACCTTTCACGTGATGTTGCCATAGAATGGTACCATGAAGATATTACCGGGACAATCCCTAAGGATTTAAGTGCTTTTCTGAAGGGTACAATGGCTACAAAGGGTACAATATTTAGCCTCAGCGGGGAACTGAACCAGCAACCTTCCAGATACCAGGATGCTGACTTTTTAAAGCCTCACAGAAAGCAGTTTTTTTTCATAGTGTGTCCACACGAACGCGGTTATTTTTAAAACCGCAGCTTTTTCTACATGGTTAGGCCTGAAACCGAACATTTTTGAAAACGCCTGCCAGGGTGAAGATTTTCAAAAAAAAAATCTCCGCCTACTGGAGACTTTTTCAGGCTTCTGATTGGCCAGCATGGCTTTACGGTTGAGATTATATCGCCATCTGTTGGTTTGGCATGCTCTTGACAGCGCTTCATAGCATGGGTTTGCGTTTTCATGTGGACAGACATTTTTTTTAAAAACGAAAGAAGGAAAAACTCATAAATCCCCATGTACGTGTGGACATGGCCTAAGAAAACATCAAAAACCTTAATGCAGAGTGATATAAACTCACCTTTAGCATCAATGGTATCTATAAGCATGTCGATCACCACAATGGTTCCTGTTCGTCCGATACCAGCACTGCCAAAACACATTAAGCAACAAATAACTGAAGCTATCTCTTCAAGCTTGCAGAGGTCTTGAGACACTGAATATCCCATAGCACATTAATACTAAAGAGTAAACAAACTATTAATTTAAAGATTTAGAGTGGGAATTATGGGATCATGAAAAGTTCAAACATGTGATTACGAAATGTGTGTGACAACTGCTTAAACCTCCCTGCCTAGACTGTCATTACTGTATTACATTTCTTGCCAAGACATGAAATGTACTACACTACACTACCTGCATATGTTAAATTATCTTTACTTTTTAGAACAATTTGGAGTAACCAGTTGACTACAAAAAGAGGAATTATGGCTTTTCCCAAAGATGTAAAATGGAAGATAAACAGCATTTAAACCGGCATCAGTGTTCAATGCTGCCCATAAAATGTCAAGAATATTCAGATGTATATTTTATGGACATCTGAAATAGCATGTCTTATGCTCATGATGCCCCCAAGCGGTGGATGAAGTTATAAGAGGCTCTTTTGTGAGTAAGTACCTGCAGTGGATGATCATGGGTCCAGTTGAAGACAGTTCGTGCTGTTTGATGTTGACCTGCTCCAGAAAGCTAAGCACTCCACCAGGCTCTTGCGGCACGCCGTGATCAGGCCAGCTCAAATATTGGTAGTGCCAAATGGTGCGAGTTGGCTCTTTCTGGTATCAGAAAAGTAAAGAATTTCTGGTTTAGTTTTACTGGTTTATATATATATATATATATTTGTCTGGCTTGTTTTTACAGATAATTTTAATGTACATTGTTAGTTGTAAGAGTTAGTGTTCAAGAAGAACTCAATACAAACTGCATTTTAAAATGAATATAAATTTCCATTTTTAGGCAGTCAAGTCTTAATTTTTAAGTTTTTTTGTGGTTGTTCGTAAATTTGTCAAAATCCTAAAATTAAAGTCCTAAAGTGGTCTTACCTTTTGACTTTTTGATCTAGCCATAATGCAACTGCTGTGTTTGTCAATAACAGAAGGGCCATATTTTAAAGAGACAATACTCTTTTCTTCAGACGGTTTTATCAAGGCAAAGGTATGAAATGCATTGAAAGAGAATGAGATATAGGGACAGAATCTGGGCCGCAGGTGCTGTATGCAGAAATGTGGTGTGTGCTTGTGTGAATGGTTGCACAGAGGTATTGAAAAGACAGTTTTCTTACCCGATGTGGTGCTGTGAGCTCCATCACTCTGATCTTGTAATCAGCGGCATCCTTCTCAGACAGTAACGTCACCACATATCTGCCTGCTTCCTTTGACTCTCCTTCAGTAGTTGGCCAGTATGGCACACACTTATTCTGCAGAGGGCGCATGTAACAAAAAAAAAGGAACTGTATATTTTTAGACCTTGAAATGTTACATTAACAGTCAAGAGATGTTCTACTAATAATACTACTAAATAGAAAAATAGAATTAAAAATAGAATTCATTATAAATTGGAAGAAGGTCAACAATTACTAACCCGTCCTTTTTCAACCTCCCTTGTTGTCATGACAATTACTCGTGACTCTTCTTGCCATACCATTTGCCAGAAATCGTTTACAGTTGTTAAGAGGCAGCCTTGACAAGCAATGTAAACTTTCTGGTCATTAATATCCATTAATTTGTTCTGTGAGCAAAGATATATAGAAAGAGTGGAGGAGAGAAAAGAGAGGGTTTAACGAAATAATTTGAGAGATTTATGATTATGTTGTGATTTAAGTTGTGGACGTACTATAACATAGTTGGCATTGATGTAATCAGAGCCGACAACATTGGGATCTGCGTTTTGCAAGGTAACCCTAGTTTCATCAACTGAAAAGAGAAGAAATTAGAATATTTATTATAAAAACTGTCTAAATCTATGCAACTTATCACTACTAAACTTATATTTCATTTATATATCTTTCAAAGAAATACTGCGGTGTGATCAGATTCATTGCTCACAGGGAAGGATGTTCTTATATCTGTTTTTGCTTTTGTTTTCTGGTCTCATTCCTTCATCTCTGTTCTTCGTTACCTTAGTTTCCAACTTCTGCAATGCCTGCAAGCAGAAAAACAGATTTATAGATCAGAAATAGCACAGATAGTACGAGAAATTAAGATAGAAAGTACAAATGAAGTAGCTCTGAACTGTTTAGATGTGGTCTAACCTTACTACGGTATGGACGTACTAATTTTAGCAACAGTTGATCAAATTCTTTTTGCCAACCCATACTAATTGTTATAAGTACAAAAAAGTCATAAAAAATGCATGAATTGACTTTAATCAGAAGCTCATGTAAATGTAGATGTGAAAAAAACTGATAGCAATAAAACATATGCCTGCGACTTCATGTCTTTTTGTCTTTTATGTAATAAAACATGAAATAAAAAAAATGTAAAAACACAAAATTAAAAAAATAAATCTATATTTAATTTCCTAATTTCTTAAATAAATCCAAATAATTATCTCTTAAGATCTAACTGTTTTGAAAGATCAAAAAGTGGGCCAAAGGCAAAAATGGATTATGCCGAGTGGGAAATACAGCCTCTGTTGTGGCCTAAGAGACTACAGGCTGCTGTTAGGAGGTGTGAACTTGTTAACTCCAGCCTGCAGACCCAAAACTACCACACAAATCTTTCAAAACTTGTGTGGGATTAAACCTTTTTTTACTTACATGAACTAATCTGAAGAGTTTTAATATTATTCAATTTTCCATTCCATTTATTTTATTTATTTATTTTCTGTTTTTGCAATTGTGGTTTCTCCTAGGCAAGTTGATGCTCTCGTTGATTCAATAACATAAAACCTGACAAAAATGGTATCATAAATATGATTTGTTTAGCTCAAATCGTGTCTTTTTTAGGCTGGTCCATAGTATAAAACAGGTTATTTTAACTGAAAAGCAGGAAGTCCATATTAAAATATTTCAATTTATTTTCTTTTAAGTAGCAGCTGCAATACTTTCAAAATAGTTATTTTCCAAATAAATCCCACAATGTGTTCATCAAATATTGCTGTGCTTCTAATGCATTAACAACTTGTGATTCATCTACAGCAGGTGGTGAAAAACCTTTAAACATGCCACTCACATCAAACTCTTCCCAGAACCCAGCTTTTATCTTTTTATCAGCCCCGTCCATGTTATCTGAGGTCTGGCCGAGCTGCTTTACTCTGCTCTCAATATCAGCTGCGTTCAACCTTGTGGAGTAATAAGGCTGAGGAAAAGGGTAGACACCAAAACAAATGCAAACAGGGAGAAGAGTAAGACATCAACACAGACAGACAGAAAAGAGTAGGAGATAGACAACAGAAAGAAGGAGAGAGACAGACAGAAAGGGCGAAGATTAATCACAATATTAAAAGTGCTTCCCACAGTTCTTTGTGATGTGCCATTTTGTCACACTAATAAATAACTCTTTTTCACAGATATTCTCCAGTCAAATCTCTTTACCTCAGCAGAACAGATGCTCTTAGTTTCAGCTTTCTTACAACATTTTTAAAAAGGTTTTAGATCAAAACATTTCAGCTTAATTTCTCAAAATGTATAAGTTAACATGACCAAACCTAACAGTCAGTTTCCACAGTGCTGTGGTTAATACCAGTAGCTGATTAGTTGCTGATGCTTTTGTTGAACATCTTGCTTGACATTTATGTTGGTATGAAAAAACCCCTCTCATTACAAATGTTCCTTACCTGTCTGAGGTAAATCATTGTCCCAGACAACTCCTCAATACCAGAGCGTTTGAAATGCTCCACAAGGTCTGCCAATGTGTCAAAAATGTCTTTACCACCAACTGTGTAACGGTCATTCTGAAAATCAACATGCATAAGAAAATAAAAGTTAACCAGTCAGTTGGATTCATACTCAAGGGTAACATGGGGTTCACTGGCACCTTAACTGGATGCCAAAATTGACCTCCAAATAGTTATTAAAATTGTTCAAATATAAAGACAAGACAGTTATGTATTTTTCTGTTTAAAGAAACATTTATACTGTGTGAGAAAGCATACAGGTGCATCTCAATAAATTAGAATGTCGTGGAAAAGTTCGTTTATTTCAGTAATTCAACTCAAATAGTGAAACTCGTGTATTAAATAAATTCAATGCACACAGACTGAAGTAGTTTAAGTCTTTGGTTCTTTTAATTGTGATGATTTTGGCTCACATTTAACAAAAACCCACCAATTCACTCTCTCAACAAATTAGAATATGGTGACATGCCAATCAGCTAATCAACTCAAAACACCTGCAAAGGTTTCCTGAGCCTTCAAAATGGTCTCTCAGTTTGGTTCACTAGGCTACACAATCACGGGGAAGACTGCTGATCTGACAGTTGTCCAGAAGACAATCATTGACACCATCTTGTAAAGCATATGTTTTCTTTAAAACCAAACATTTTGAATAGGTTTGCTTGAAAATTTGCTAATGCTATCTTTATCAAAAAAGTAACACCTAAATGGACGTTCGGATTTTATTTGAATAGTACAACCTGTGAGAATGCTCTTTCATTCAACTTTAAGTAACATCACCAAAACGGCAACACAAAAGCTTTCTGTGTCTTTAAATCAGATTAACAGAAGCTGTCCACTGGTGAGAGCTTACATTTTCTTAGATAAAATAGGGTTAGCATAGGCTGATTTAAAAGGTTTAAGGCCTTAACAAAATTGTTTGGTTCTCTGAGCTGATTAGAACCGTCTTCACAGAACACAGTTTGTTCTGTTAATCTGCTCAGAGGGCAACCACGCAACAACAGTGTTTTGTCTGCTTTGAACCTGACTAAAGCACATATGCACATACCAGTGGAATAATAAACAATTGACAGGCAGTGCGTTGACCTGATTTTCCCTTGGTCATATTCTTCTACCATTCATTTCAACAGCACAACAATAGTGCTTATTTAGAGCCCTGAGTGGAGCATGACCACCCCCGCTGCCATTTATTCACACACACTCATGACTCAAAGTCCAGCTGCGTTTTTCAGGTAAGCGCAAGCATGTGAATCAATGTCATAATGTGTGTACCATATGTATTTAAATGCTTTACTGTTCCTATCTTTAAGTATGTCAAACATGTGTATGTGTATGTATGTCAAACTGTGTGAATCTGTACAAATGACATGTGTATATCTGTCAGAGTGCAAAATATATTGCCAGTTAAGCAGGTTTATTTATTTGTTTATTTTTGTTATTTCATCACCATGGAGTTATACATTTCTATCTGACATTTTTTCCCAAATTGAGTTATTCACAAATTCTTATTCTGTGACAACCTCTTTACATTATGTAATTTTTAAAGTTGTGTACATTTTGGAACTTTTTTATTTAGAAAGCAAAAAGGTGTGGAATGCAAACATTTTGCAGCTCAATATCTCAAAACGACTCAGAATGCAGATAGAACCTTACAATTCCAAGGTGATGTTCCAGACCTGTATGATTTTCTTTCTTCTGTTGAACACAAAAGACCATATTTTAAAGAATGTGTGTAACCAAACAGTTGTTGGTCCCCACTGACTTCCACAGTATGGATTGTTTGGTTACCCACATTGTTCAAAATCTCTTCTTTTGTAACAAATTCAACAAAAGGTTTGGAACAATTTGAGGGTGAGCAAATGATGACAGACTTTTCATTTTTGGGAGAACTATCCCTTTAAATACTGTGTCGTTGATCAAGTTGTTAAGATCTATACAAAAGTACATTCTTAACTAGATCCATTATTCTATTCTATATCTAAATGACCAATAGTGCCCTTTGAAACACTCTTAAACAAAATCAGCATAAATCCTATTCATTTTGTGATTACTTTATATTGATAAGGGGCAACACAGAAATGTTTTATATATATATATATAATGCAAATTAATTGAGAACATAGAAAAATACATTCATGTATGAGCACAAGCACTTACATTGCACATGATCTTGATGTGGGAGACCCTCCTACCAGCACTGGTCATATCATCGGTGAGCACAGACAGAACAAAGTCTCCTGGTTTGGAGAGCGACTCCCTCACCAGGAACGTCCCAGGCTCATCACGCTCACGGAGCAGCTTCTCAGCATTGGGACCTGGCAAGTGGCCATGGTACCACCTGAAGATACAAAAACAAAGGGGGAGAAAGTAGGTGTTAGATGTTCTCATAATAGAAAAAAGTTAAAAGTTGTAGTAAAACGTACTTTGTTATTTATATATGAATAGTATTTCCTGCATGCATAACATTAATTAATTGAGGTCTCTGAGGCAAACAAACCAGTCAAGGTTTAAAGGACTAAAAATAAAAAAGAAGAGCCAAATGCAGCTGCACCACAAACCAATGCAGCCATGAACACAAAAACAAGAGACTGAACATTTATGTCACATCTATATTTCCAGTGTGCATATGTTTATTATCAATCCATTTTTGGATCCTGATGCAAAAGTATGGCAGTCCTCACGCTCTAGCATACTAAAATTTTAGTTAACAATTGGGCTCAGTTCTCAATTTCTACATCTTAGCTTCCTGTACTGTGGTCGGAAAATTTTCTGATGACAAGATTTCTTGACTGAGACTTTGGTGTATTTTTAGCTTGTCCTTCCTTCTCTCTTCTCTTGAGAAAAAAAAGAGAGGCTTGCTAAATCACCCTTCTGGGGGTTCTTCCATGATTGCTCTTTGACAATTACAACCGGTGAATTATGATTTTGCTGCTTCTGAATAATAATAAATGTAAAAAATATAAATAAATAATCATGTACTTTATCATTATATTCTTAAATGAAAAACATTTATGATAACAAATACAACTTTAACACTAATAAAAATAAGCAATTGCTAATATAATGTCAATGTCAGTTTCATTTATATAGCACTATTAAACACAACCAAAGTTGACCATTGTGCTGTAAAACAAGTTAAATAGAAAATGGCACACTACAAAACAGACTATAATAATTGATAAAACAGTACAGTATCATACTAAAATACAGTGCAATGATGCTTTATCACTTGTTGTATGCCAACAAAGCCTCAAAAAGATAGGTTTTTATCTTGGACTTAAAAACAGACAAAGAAGGAGCAGATCTAATAGAAATAGGCAAGTCATTCCAGAGACTGGGGCAGCTACCAAAAGGTGGAGTCACCCCTACATTTATAATAGTGTAATTTATATTTTTAGTTGACTACATCTTGTTAATGCAAATCTTAAGTTCTCTGTCTTTACTAAACATATCCATATGACCAAAAGTTAAGCATATGTGACTGGAACACATATCAGCTGGACAACTGTCTTATTGTTAAGACACCATGTCATGCAATCAGACATCTTTGTGTTTCTAATCATCAACAATCAACAATATTTTCAGTGCATCTCAATCTTTTTAGATTTTTATTATTTTTATTCTTGCTCTTTTTAATGTTTTCAATTTTAGACTGGTCTTGTGATCAAAGTTACAGGCTCATTAAACAATATTTTATATGAATGTCAAATGTATATACATTACACTATCTGTCATTGCAAATTCTATTCCAAGGTATCATAACTTGCGTGATATACTTCACCATAGAAACTCTTATGTGTAAGTCTCTGGTGACCATGTTCTACACTTAAATTCACTCTTTCAATGAAAGTCAGTTGTTCTGGACCCCAGTGACTTTCACAGTATGGCCAAAAACAGTTGAAAGATTTCAGAAAACATCTTTTTTGTTACGCAGAAGAAAGTAAGTAATACAGGTTTGGACCGACATTAGGGAGAGTAAATGATGACAGAATGGTTTGTTTTTTTACGTGATAACTTTCTCATTAAATATCTCTAAATTCTAGAAAATACCAGAAAGAATGTTCCAGAAAGTTCTATGGTGTTAAAACCATGACAAAAAACACACTCTGGGGCAGTTGGTAACACATAAACAAAGTAAGCCACTGTAACACTTTTATGGGACAAAAATGTCACACTGAGTTTGCCTGTGACTTCAGTTTGCATACTTTAGGTTCTCTGTCCGTTAAACAACACCCATCAAGCAGCTCATCATGAGCATGACCAAAAAAAGAGAAAGAGACAGACAGAAGTGTGTAGGACAAAGAGCTAAGAAAGGCAGGGGAGAGATGAAGGAAGGCCTGAATGGGTCTGGTCACTGTTTGCAAATGTGTCAAAACTAAAGTTTCCAACCGCAGTTGAGAAGAGGAAGTCAGACACATGGCAGAGGGAGGGGTGGAGTGTGTCTGCAATTCAAGGAGCATCAAAATGAAATAAAGAACTTAAAGAAAAATCAGTGACCAAGATGGTGAAGCTTTGGGATCCAAAAGGCCACACTGAAATCTGGGATTCAAGATTTTACGTACACCTGAAAATAAACAGGATTTAGGATTTTAAAAACTTGACAACATATTTTTTGCATAAAACGAATAAGAAATGTTCAAGACTGCACTATTTGCTTTTGCTTCTATTGATCATTGTGGACATGATCATCAGGTTTTACACAAACTTGTGGAGCTCATGCAACTTGGGTAAAAGTCACAAACCAAATATTAAGATGTACTGAAATTAAATTCAACATTTTACTCAATGCAGATAATAATAATATAATATAATAATAATTTGTAACTGAAAAAAGTAATTACATGAAAGAATGCAAAATTTGTACTAGCAGTCTCAGACATATGCACTTTAATTTATAATTATTGTCTTCTAAAAATGATTCTATTATTTATTATTCATAATTACTACAAATTATAATGATTAAAAGTTAACTTTAACTTACAGTGCATCAATCATTAGATTAATCATTAGTTTAATCAGCTTTAGTGCATTTTTGTTTAGATAGTCTTAATTTGAGTGAATTATTGTTAATTTTTTCCTGCATTAGATTAACTATAAAAATAAATCTGAAATAGTTCACACTTATATGTGTTAAGTTTTTTTTTTTTGCACCATACAGACATTGTGTGCAGACAAAGAAGGGAAACTGATAGAGAAAAAATGAATGAAGTCCGAAATATCCGTGCATAACATGCATTTTTCATTCCTTATTATTACAGCCAACATTTACAAACCTAAATGCAAGTATGGTTAATTAAAGGGATGTCTAACTTATATTAGGCATGTTAAAAAGTTTATGATTAGCAATGCTGGTCCAGGATTGTGTGTCTGTGATCCATATAAACGGGAGAAACTGATACAGTATAGTGTGTAAAATTCTCCAGTTGTATGGTCAGATGTAAATCGTATCAGATTCTGATGTAGTAGCAGACTGATTTACATGACAAAAATGTGCATTTTGTGTAATCATAAAGCAAAAAGACCATCTTAAATGATTTATACTTGCTGATCACATTAACATATCTCTTGCTGAACTAAATGAATCTGCTGCTGTTTGGTTTTACTCTTTATTTGATAAGATTAAAAGTAGTGGTGGAAAGAATTTTGGAGATTTGTATCAAGTTTTGTTCCTCGGTTTCTGACGTAACTGAAAGTAGAATGTGGAAGAATTCCAATGTGTGATAAAATGACTGATCATGTGCTGCTAACAAAATGCTTTTACAAAATCAGTACACCAACAGCAGGGACGGAAAGTCCTCTGAGGAGACATTTTGTGTGCACAATTTTACTGTGGCAGTATTACAGTCAGTAACAACTTTTACCATTAATTTGCCATTAACCTTTTGGCATAGCGACCAGTGTTGGGAAAGTTACTTGTGGCTAACTAACTAGGTCTAGATTCAACGTAGTTAACTTGTTTTGTTTGTAGCTTAGCTACACTATGAACTATTAGCTCTCTAGTTAGCCACACTAGCTAGTAGCAAAAACTAATTACAGTACATTGAAGCTCTGTAGTTAACGACTTTTTGTTAGCTTGCTGTGTAGCTTGAGTAGCATTTATCTGCCACAAATAAAAGTTGAGGCTCTCAGTTAGCATAACAGTATTTGAACAGATAAATTTACATAAAATACCACTGCTAAATCTACAAAATGCCTGAACACTCTCAAAAAGGAAAAACTTTCTTTACTGATAGGCTATCAACAACAGTAAAATAAATGTAAATTCTTAGCCTTATGAGTCAAAAGACTTTCCATGTCCAAAATATTGTGGCTATGTTTACATGGACAATTTGACTATTGGATCCACTACAGCAGCAGACTAAATATAAATTTGCAAGCAGGATTTTCCAAATACTCAAATGGCGCTTATCTGCATTAAGTTTAACTTCAAACAGTGAAGTAGCATAATATGAGACCTGGAAATACCACATTATGACTTTGACCTTTTGAGTTTTTCACTTTTTTTTCACCTTCCAGCTGCTATGAATAAAATAACAACCTAACTGTAGAACCAACTGTAAACAGCACAAATGCAACAACGGTGATTGATGTCATTCATTGTGTCAATATAATCAATATCAGTAAGCAGTATAAACAAGCATGAATATTATGTGTATGTGTTTCTATGTATCTGTGTTTGGGGGCCTCATTAATTGGGATATGGTGTAGCAAAAGCAAACGGAGTGGAATAGTTGTGCAAGTATAGACAACATTTCAGAATAAAACAAATTAAATATAATGGTCAGAATCATACGGCATTACATGTGCCAATTTTGAGCTGTTGACACTAATCTTTGCCCTTTAAAAAAATGAACTGACATTACACTGGCATTTAGTAACATCAAATAGTTGCGTGACAACATCCAAGTCATACATCACATGCAATTACAAATCAGCTTATTGATGTTTTCTGTTATTAAGCAGATACTTTTTATATTAAGTAGATCAAAGAGAAATAAAGCTATTTTATGTCCGGAGCATATTTGATAGTCTATATGCAAAACAAGCAAATTAGGTTTTACAGTCTATGAAAATGAATAAAAACACATATAGACAAATGTGTGAATTATTGCATTGTTATGTGAAGTGAACTAAACTGAAATGACAGTTGCTTGGCAGATAATGAGTAAAAGAAAAAAAGAAGAAAAGAAAAACAAAAAATATTTGCTTGAAAACATATGTCCATTAATATTTTTATAGGTCAGAAAACCACAGCTCACACAAACCTTCTGAAAAGAAAGAAAAGGTGATGCATATTATATAAATACAGAACCAAATTATCACAGCTTATAATTAAATAGTTATTCCCAAATTGTGCGCGATGTCTCTCTGGTGAAAAAAAAGCGGCTTGCCATCTATTCCAAAAAAGTGTAATAAAAAAGTAATAATTGGTTTGTAGGGAAGTTTATAAATGTTTCTTGACAAGCTCTAGAACTAAACACCGCCAGACAAATCAGAGTAGCAAAGACAAAAGCTCAAACCAGTCAAATACAGAAACATTCAGTAAATAAAGAGTTTTTTGCTTTTTAGCCAACACAGAAAGGCTTCCTTTTACTAGAGCAGAAAGTAACGGAAAGCTATGAAGGCTATCTCTCACCCAATCTGACCTCAGCTTATCCTAAGAACCAAATTTTCTCTAAATGACATAAAAAGTGGCTGAAGATAGATATTTTTATCATATCAAACTGAAAGTGCTGTACCTAACAGACAGGGAGAAATCGCCCACATTCTTTTTGCTGGGTCGGGCCAGGAAGCTGCCATGGACACCTCGGGTCTTCAAAACGGACTCTGCGTCTATTCCAGACAGATCTCTGTGGAACCACCTGTTCAACATGTAAATGAGCCTATGTTACAGTCAGACATGCTAGAGATGATAATGTAAAAGAGTGGTTTCACATGAATGGCACAACATACTGTTTGTGGACAACTTAACTGGACACAAGCCAAATATTTCACAAAAATACATTTATTAGGTTTTAAATAATAAAAAGCAATATGTTGTTAAAAAAAGACAAAATATTTGCACAATGTGTAGCAGTGTAGTGCAATATTAGTGTAACACATGCATAGTTAATATGATGAACTACACCTGTGGTTAGAACACCTGTCTGAACAGGGGAACTGACTTAAAACATCCACATCTTGACACGTTTAAATTTAATTGCAAAAATGGCTCAGAAAACTTACAAAAAAAACAACAACATTAAGTTTTGAGAAAATCTCTAGCATTATTTGTTTGCACATTGATCCAAATTATTTAGAATTTAGTTATGTAATGCAAATATATTCATGCATTTAGACGCAAGCCAAATATTTCACAGAAATACATTTATTAGGTTTTAAATAATAAAAAGCAATATGTTGTTAAAAAAAGACAAAATATTTGCACAATGTGTAGCAGTGTAGTGCAATATTAGTGTAACACATGCATAGTTAATATGATGAACTACACCTGTGGTTAGAACACCTGTCTGAACAGGGGAACTGACTTAAAACATCCACATCTTGACACGTTTAAATTTAATTGCAAAAATGGCTCAGAAAACTTACAAAAAAAACAACAACATTAAGTTTTGAGAAAATCTCTAGCATTATTTGTTTGCACATTGATCCAAATGATTTAGAATTTAGTTATGTAATGCAAATATATTCATGCATTTAAAAAAAGTGTCCAAATACTTCACTTTATAGGTACAGAGGGTAAACTATATATATGTGTGTGTGTGTGTGTTATGGTGAAGCACATGCAAAAACAAGTACACTCTACCAAGGCCTACCAAACCACCAAGTGCATTTGCAGAAATGCACATACACATGCAGCCAGACATGCATCAGCATATAAATACACCTTGCACATTGCAGTTATGCTCACACACACACACACACACACACACACACACAAATGCCTTTTTAAAAACACATGGCAAGACTCACAAATAAGAGTCTGTAGTGCAAAACATAAGAGTAGCACAACTGAAAAGGGGAAGATGAGGAGTTGAACAAGATTGGAACAAGAGAACAAGAGCAAAGTCTGTCTCAACTTACCGGACCATCTTCCTTTTTCAAATGTTCCTCTTCCCGTCAAAATGAAAAAGAATTGAATGCACATTAATATTGTATTAGATATGATATAGGCATACACAATAATCCAGAGCAGTAAAGACTTCTTCTCTTCGTGTCATACGTCAGCACTCATCCTCTACATTTCCCATTTGCCTCTCTCTTTCTATAACCAGTGCAGTGGCATTCCTCCACACAACCAACCATAGCCCATAATCATTTGTCTAGCGGCTTTCATACCTGCCCGCTTTGCCTCTCCTTCTCTCTCGAAATGTAAACAGTTTTCGGTGCTTTGAAGAGCAGGTCGTCCTGACAGTGTATATAAGCCTGTCGTATGTCCCTCCCTCTCTCACTCTCTCACGCACTGTTACAAACTTCTTCCTTCCTTTTTGTGGTTTTTTCATAAAATAGTGAAAGCAAACAAGAGAGGTATAGACAGATACAGAGATGTCAGATGAATTTCCGTTCCTTTAAGTTCTTTTTGTCAATAACTAATTATCAGACATTATCAGACAAACATCCAGCTCAACCTTTGAAACTACAAGAGTCAAATAGAGGAACTACAGGTATAGTGCAAAATAAAAATGACAATGAAATGCAAATGACCTCTTATTGCTTCTTCTCTCCAATGGCTTTCTGAATTAACTTAATCTTTCTTTTGCTCCCTGTCTTTCTTCTTTTATGCCTTTTTCCTCGCAGGTTGATTTCACAGGCCAGGTGTCATTGAGGCTAACAGTTAAAGTCCATTTGGTTTAGTTGTACATTGCACTTCCTTGTTTCCAGACCTCCCCCTCTCACTAACACAAACACACAGAAATAAACACGAGGACGCACGTACCTGACATATGTTATGGGCTGTTAATTGCATAATTTACATTATTATTATTACTACACCAAAATGGCCTACGGTACATATGTAAAACCTTACCTGCCATAATGCACCACATGGCTAGCATTGCATGCTAAAAAAAGAAGAAGAAGGTTTTAGTTTATTGTAATTTAACTATAATAATCCTTCACACTAACATTCAAAAAATTGGGGTCATGAGATTCTTTAATGCTTTTAAAAGAGGTATCTTGTGCATATTTGATTTGATGTGGATATATATATATATATATATATATATATATATATTATATACTACCAGTCAAAAGTTTTTGAACAGTAAGATTTTTTATGTTTTTTAAAGAATTCTCTTCTGCTCAACAAGCTTGCATTTATTTAATCTAAAATACAGCAAAAGCAGTAATATTGTGAAATATTATCTAAATAAAATAAATTTACTATTTAAAATAACTGCTTTCTATTTGAATATATTTTAAAATGTAATTTATTCCTGTGATTTCAAAGCTGATTTTTAGCATCATTACTCCAGTCTTCAGTGTCACATGATCCTTCAGAAATCATTCTATGCTGATTTGCTGCTCAAAAAAAATTTTTTTATATGGTTAAAACTTTTGGCTGACACAGTTTAACACGTTAAGCTAATACATCTATCCAGAAAGGGGAATACTTTTTGCCTTGCAAATATCTAGCCCTCTAGTCTTTAGGTCACAACTATAATATTTGAATACATGTAAAGTCCATGATACCACATAACAAAATGTTTTTCAAAAGCTTCTCTAAGTGACTGTTCCTAAAGTTACTGGTAACATGGAACCATATTTACAGATACACAGACAGATAAAATATATTTAGAAAAGACGTCAGTGGTGAAGGTGTGTGTTCAGTAAGAAAGTTGAAGTTCAAATATCCTCAATCCTAAACACACATTTCTAGAAACACCTTGCCATTTGACAGGTGATCATATAGAGTCTGGGCTGAATATGGTTGGTTGGATTATAATTTGGAGCACAGAAAAGCAGATAGCACTGCTGAACATAAAAGCTGTCTTGAATCTGATCCTGGCAGCAACAGGAAGCCCATGAAAATATGAGTGCAAAGAGAGGTTTCAACCAGCAGACAGGATCTAGAATGTTGGAGCATCTTCTAAAAAATGGCAAATATGTTTCTAAAAATAATTCAAAGATCAACCATCTCAATTTAATCTAAACTGACAAAGTACCATGGTAAAGCCATGTTTTTTGGTGATTTACAAGTATTGTTTGAAGTCCCTTACCCACGCGACATGCTTTTGTCCTCTTCTCTTCAATACGTTGTACACACACACACACACACAGTATCCAATGTCCAGTTCTGCACTTGAATGGAATGGATCAAACACTGTAAATGTGCAATGCAGATTGATTTAACAACAAACAAAGAGAAGACTTGACTAACTAATCTTGACTTGTGCGTCTCTTTGCAAATCTTCTCTGTCCAAAGCATTTTGGTCTGATAAGTTGTCTGCCTCCACCCTGCCATTTTCGTTAATTGACAATTTCCCCATCCTGCTTTTTGTCATTCTAACTTCTCTCTCTGCACCATCCTCTGCTGTTCTGCCCTCCAAGTAATCTCTCAATATGATCGCTATGTTTACATGAAAACTAATCAGTTTATAAATGGATTGATGTCTTAATCAGATTGAGAAGCTTCCATGCAACACCTCAATTTGACTGAACTTGATCCAAATGAAATGTCGGTACTGTTGAAAGGAGTTGTAAAACAAATGAATGGCCAAACCCTTGAATTTTTTTCCAATCTGATTCAAATTCAAAAATACCTTGCACACACACACAGTTCTGTGATCCATATGGTTCTGTATGTCTTACAAACTGGTCTGTATAGGAGACTAAATATTTGCTACTTGTGTATACTATCTGCAGAACACGTTTGAAGATCCAAATGGAATCCATGAACTTGATTTTAGGGGATTAATAATGAACTAAAACAAAGTAAAATGTATTAAAAACGAGCATAATCACAAAAAACCCTGAAATGTAGCTAAAAATCAAAAGGAAAATTAGCTAAAATATTCAATTAACAAGGAAATGTATCCACTTTTTTCTTGTCTTAAAAATGGGTGCGGCCATTTGTAAATTCTATGGGTCTGGCTTCCGGTCTCATCTGCGTCCACTCCGTCCAGCTATTTTTAGCTGAACAAAACAGTTTGTTTTGCTGCTTGATATTAAAAGGTGGTGTATCTTATATTATTTTAATGTATTATCTTAATTGTGAACTCACTGGTTTGTAGTGCAAACAGTTTTACCGTTTACTGCACGTCGTTATTCTCCTCGTTATTTACCTATAGCGGCTAATGAACAGGAAGTCTCACCCATAGGCTTACTTCCGCGTTGAAGAAAAAAAGTGATGATGGTTTTCCTAAGTCTAGTTCCAGAGAACCACCATCAAATTTAATCCAACACCAGGCTTATAAACGTGTCAGAAACACTGACTTATAATAGAGATCAGTGGTCAGAAAACCAACTTTATATATAAAACTTAAACTACACCTAAATAAACAGAGAAAACGCTGCACGCTTTAACGTTTTATTGCAGGTCTGAAAAAAAACCCCAGATAGAAACATAAGACATAACAACAATAACAGGGTAACAACGATAATTACAAAGTGAGATATTCAAAACTTCTGAAAGTGTGAAAGTTTTTTTTTCACCTGTGCTAGGGGGATTTTGTCTTCTCTTATAGGAAAAAGAATCTGGGACTTATTCTCTTGTTACATTATACACAAGCCAATCAGGAGAGAGAATGGGGAATAAATGTGGATTTTTTTTAACAAGCAAAGAAATATTAATAAACAATTGTGAACATAGAGCTTGACTTTTCTTAAAGCAGTAGTTCTCATAATGTAAAACAAAACTTGGTTATAATATATATTTAATCTAAAGGAATGGAAGATAATTTGATGACCTTATAGAAGTTCTGACCCTGTCACAAATGCATTTGTGAAGTCCATTTGACATTTTAGATTTCTGAAGTGTGCCTATGTGTTTAAGAAGGGTAATTCTGCACAGCCTGCATCAGTGGAGTATTACCTGGCAATCTATCAGGCAATACGTCACCAAAGTGTGGACTCCCCATTTGGGACAGGTACTGTGTTTATATCAGCATAAACTTTTCACTAGGCTCCCAACTGCTGCTTGACAGTACAAGAAGTTGGAAACTACATGATGTTACAGGGTTCAAACAGGCATTTACATTTCAAGCTTGGAGCATAATTGTGGAAACTCAGAAAAATAGTAAAATAACTAGTGTGAATTACAACATAAAACACACCTGAGGAGGAAAGAGTCCCCACTGGCAAAGATCCATTCCACGAAAAGGCAGAAAACAACACCAGCTCTTCAACCTTGCCCTGCTTTGACTACAACAGTGCAGAGGAGGTGACCTGGAAAACCTCAACTGGATATATACTGGAGAATGACTTGGGTGCTGTGTATGTGGGTTGGAATGCCTCTAAATTGAGCTTAAATGTTAGGGAACCACAGTGTGTTAGCTAGGAACCGCTCCACTCTCCTTCTGTCCAAACTAGTGTAGGCAGCTGGAACTTATTTCAGATATATACAATGCATCTGATCCCCTGACCCAGGTGCATGTCTGTATGTGTGCAAGATGATTCCTCATCCCGTGACTTATGGGAGGTACGAGTGAAAAATTAATCAAGGAGTCATCAGCGTGGCGCCTGCATCTGTGTGACCTCCGGTCCTCGGCTGGCCAACCGGCTAAGGATGCTTCTTTCTGACATCTGCAGCCGCACAGCGACGGGCGGTATCCGAGCAATGGTTGCCGGGAGCCGGGTGACATCTGCCTTCATGTCGCTGAGCAGCTCCTCCAGTTGTTTAAGAACTGACAGAACAATTGGAGGTAGGATAGATTTATTTATTTGAACATTTTAAGTAAATGCATTCATTTTTGGCTTTATACAACATTAATACAGCTACAGGATGCAATAAGCATGCAAAATGTGTTAAAACTATGCTGAGATACTAAGCGTGAAGTTTTGTGGCTTTGAGCAGTGCTGTGCTGGAAACACTGTTCTAAGCTGTTAGAAGCTTTGGCCATTTTACTTGCATATTTAATGTATAATTTCATTTTTTTATGATTTTATGTTGCTATGTTCAAATTATTTTAAAACATTTATTTTATAGTATTATGCAATTATAGCTATGTAAATAAACGCAATACGTACATAAATCACAATGCGTAAATCCACCAGGCCTCTGTAACTATTGTAGCATCTATTGTCAAATCTAGCCTAGTCAAAAAAACACTACATTGAGACTTAGAATTAATTTACTAGGTTATCTCTGGTTGTTTAACAACAATTAAGAAAATATAATGTTGATGTGTCACGAAAATGGACAAAACTGTTTTTTAATTTGGTTTTATATTGAAAAACAAATGAGCGAATGACACCTGGACTTTCAA